ATCATTGCATGTCATTTGATTTTTTTTCAGATGGAGATTCATCTTTCATGGTGGCATTGATGGCTATTCAAGACTTCCTGTCTACCTACAAGTAGCTGCTGACAACACTGCTGCTACAGCTTTCACTTCCTTTCAAATAGGTGTTCAGCAGTATGACATACCAGAACATGTCAGGACAGATAAAGGCATAGAAAAAAAACAAGAGTAAGATCAACAAGGCAAAGGAGACGTTCACAGGACGCGGTCCCGACACACTCAAAAAACCTAGAGCGGATATAAGGGTGAAAGGAGTGGGACATGTAATGTGAAATAATATCAACTAAAACGGGCCCATAAGGGAATTAAAGGGATAAGGGCTGTAAGGGTGAAAAGGTGGGGGGAGGGGGGGTAAAAAAGGGTGAGGGGGGAATTGAGAAAATACTTACCGTCAACAAAAATCCAACAAGACAGACATCACAAACCATGTAAACATCCAAAACAAGTAACAAAACAGACATGAAAAACACGTGAAGGAACACAGAGGGGTACCGCCTTGGAACGGTCAGTGGTAGTTAAACCACTGGGGAGTTTAAACCGGTTTAAGGCGCGCCAAACCTCACTCTTAGCCCCAAAATGTTCTTGAATGACATTAAAGTGTAAATAAAAATAATCCCCGCCAAGTGAAATTCATACAATGGTCATGGTTACTTTAGACGAAATAAATAAAACACATACACAAATATGTAAATATGTAGAAAAAGGTAATTCCTAATGACTATTACCAAAGTACTCGATGCCTTAAAGGAAGGCAGAGCAACAAGAAAATCACCTACAAGGGCCCGACGAAGCAAGACGGAAGACGAACATTAAGACAATTCAGTCCCAAAGGGCTTTAAGAACTGTCCAGCATAGAGTCTCCCACTTAGTCCGTCAGATGTAATTTAAAGAGGAAAGCGTAGCGTCCAACTGTAAAAGGGTTGAACGCCAAGCATGCGGTATGCCTTAAAATAATTGGGTCATAACCTCTTTTAATAAACCGTTTGATAATTTTAGTGAAGACGGCAGAAAAATTACTATGACCCATGATCCTACGAAGTTTGTAAACCACATCTCCATAGAAGTCAGGTTTGCTAATTAATACCTAGTCGTAAAAGAGTTTTTAAATTACAATTAAATTCTAAAACTAAGTCTGAATTACGATGGTAAAACTTTGTAAAATATTTACGCAATTTATGATAGCGATAACCTTGTTTAAGAACATTGTTAGTAATATATAAATTGCGCTCATTAAAATCATCTAGCAAATGTAATAAATTGAGAAATATACACCCCATCTAACTGTGGAATTAGTTAACAATATTAAAATCAAAATAATCTCTTTTATCGTAGTTTTTAGTTACTATAGTATTGTTAATGATAGAAATGTTTAAATCTAAAAAAAGATGTAATAACGTCTGAAGAGTTAGTTTTATTCAATTAAAATAGATAAATACAGAATCCCTAAAGAAAGCCCAACACGACAAAATTGAAAATGTTGCAGGCTCGGTTTGATTGAGCCTGTTCATGGACGGTACTGGAAAGTGCAATTTACCGTCCACGCCCCCTAGCACCGGCCCAAGCAGAATTCAACATTTAAACATGAAATGGTAAAATTTTGAATTTAGAAACATCCGCAGATGTGTTCACTGGAATATATTTTAGAAACCAATTGATCGAAATAAGGATTATTCATGTTAAGAATGTCATCAAGGTAGCGGGAAGTGTTGTTAAATGCATGTATAATTTCCTGATGTGAAGTAGAGGAAAGACTTAATATAAAATTCCTCTCATAGCAGTAAAGAAATAAATCAGCTATCAGGGGGCACAAGTAGTTCCCATTGGAATGCCTATTATCTGTTTGAGAACTGTATTACCAAACCTGACATAAATGTTATCTAATAAAAAAGAAAGTGCTTTACAAACTTCGTCACAGGTCCACATTGTATATTGTTTAATGATACCATTGGAAAAGAAAGTCTTCATTTTTACCCCATCTTACTACTCTGTTTACCTTTTAGCCCTAATTGTTCTGGAATTTCATTCATTACACCCATTATCAGGAGATAATTTGGTAATATGTTACTTGTCATTGTGGGAGGTCTGTAGAAATCTGTACGACAATATTTTCAAAATAGAACATGTCCTATCCCTTACATCTAGACTTAAGGTTTCCGAATTCAAGAAGTAGTAGCCTTCACATATTAAGATTTGCCTGTAAAGCTTAGTTTTAATTGGTGATGTACTTCAAAATCAGGCCTTAAGCAACAATTACTTTTATGCTTACGCATTAATAGCTTATGAAAGAGACTCTATTTTAAGATAGGGAAAATCTTATTCAGGCAGTGAATATGATAGACCAGTGAATATGAATGTCGCATGTCTTTGGGGTCCTCCTGGGCTCCTTGCCACTGGCTCTTGTTACTGGGTCGGGTGGGGGCTGTGTTCATTGAACGCTGCCTTTCCTTGATGATCTTGTTTATCATATTTTTTTGCTGTACTGTCACTGAATATGAGCCTGATTCTAGTTTTAGATTGGAAAACTCTAATTCAGGCAGTGAATATGGTATAACACCCAAATATTTTATTAGATATAGCTTTATACCCCTTAGAAATAAATAAAAATGTAAAAAAAAAAAAAATAAATAAAAAAAAAAGATAAAACTAAGATAATGTAAAGTATTAAAATACTTAAAGATATGTCGAACTGCTTTAAATCGTTTCAATTAAATTAAGTCCAAATGTGATCAACAAATCTTGTCAAATGAAAAAAAGGAGATTAGGTAAAAGATAACATTTTTTGTATCTGTTCAGATATGGTTGTTAAGACGTTAAAAGTTTGTGGCATGAAACCATTAACTACTTCCAAGGGGTATAAATTGAAAAGACGGACACACACTAATCAGATACTGCAATAGAAAGGTTGGTTGTAACTGTGACGGTTCTTTTTTTCAAAATGAACAGAGCAAAATTTCTTTTTTCAAAGTGAAAATTTAATACGAAGAAAATTGGAATATCTTTTACATAACTCATCAATTACAAATATATACACAATAAAAGGATTATCAATTATATTTTCAGGGAAAGATGAAGTATCCAGCAACAAGATTTTTCTTTTGTCTTTGCTTGATAGCCATACTGGTACACCAAGGTTTGTTTATATATATATATATATATATATATATATATATATATATATATATATATATATATATATATATATTTAATGTCTTTATTCTACAATATAAATGAAATAAATTGGATTTTTTTGGCTTTAATGTCACACAGCATTAGAAAAAAAATACTTGATTTATGAATTTATTTAGCAGTCTTTCTTTTACTTCTTATAGTTTGTAATTTTTGTATAAAATAATGAGTTTAAAATCAAAGTTTTCTAAAAAGAACAAACATCTGTGTGCAAACAAAATTTACAATGATCGAAAAAATGCAGCATCGGAATAACTGAAAATTAAAAAACCTGAAACAAACAAACACATCAAAACAAAAGAAACAAACAAACACATCAAAACAAAAAGAAAGATAAAAAACAAACAAACATTAACATAAAAACAACAAAAAAAAACATCCTAACCCCCCCCCCCAAAAAAAAAAAAACAACAACAAAAACAAAACAAAACAACACACGCACGCACGCACGCACACACACACATACACACACACGCTCACGCACACGCATCTAAAGATGAATATTTATTCAAATAATAATTATGTCTTAATATTAAAAGGATGCAATGCTACAACGACTAAAAAATCTCCTCCTCCTGCTGGAACAAAACCACAGAGTGGTGCAGGTGGTGGCGGAGACTCGTCAGGTAAAGTTTCGTTATCATATTAATTCGTCATTAATGAAATCATTTTTAATATTATACTATAACTGTAAGTTGTCATCCATCTTTATCACCATCATCATCATCATCATCATCATCATCAATATCAGTGATGTCATCATTGTTGTAATCGTCAAAACTTTAAATATCATATATTTACGTGTTGCACAGTATTTATTTTTTTGTTCTTATTCAAGCAAGCAAATTTAATGTAAGAAACCATTTCAAACTAAATAATAAGTTCAATTGATATTTTCATGAACCAGAACGAGACCGAGTTGTATTGTATACAAAACAAAAATAAATAAAAAGTAAAAATAAATATTGTAATTTATTTTATACCTTAACACTAATGGAAATTTTTTCTAAATGAAAAAAAAAAAAAAAAAAAAAAAAAAAAAAAAAAAAAAACTGTAAAAAATAAACCCTCACGTTACGGAATGGAAATAAACATTTAAGAAAGGTATTATTTTTATTTTTTCATGCGCAAATGGCAAATATATCGGCATTCTATATTACTGAATTTATGACCTCTAAACAGTGCTATATTCTGGATAAGAGATATCAATTTTAAGCGCAATGTCGTAGTACTAATCAAGCAAGTTTTGCGTTCAAATATGCAGTATTATTGTTACGAAAGCAGGGGTAGGCATCGAATTGATAAATATACTGAACCAAAAAAGAAACTTTCGCAAAGTATGTGCCAGTTGTTCAAGGGTACCACTTAGATGTATATACATGTAGTAGCTTGTAAAACTCGTTTTGTTTGCAAAATCGGTCAGCTAATCCCCGTATAAAAGCCCGATGTTTATTCAACGTAAAAAACGAGTTTCAAAAGGATTGAAAAACTGTACTAACATATCTACATTCACACTTGGAGAAAGTTTCTTTTTTTGTTTCAGTATATTTGTTGAACTACGTTTAGCGGAAAAGTAGTTTTCTTTGAATAATTGATAAAGTCTAATAGATTCTAGGTTCTTATTTCTATTGTTACAGTATCTAATAGTTGAAGCCTCTCCACAAAAAGAAAGACTATAACTGTAGTGCCATGTACTACACGCCCATTAAACTTCATTTGTTTATAACGTTATAATCTTAACTTTTATCTAACAGTTATGCTTTTTTTTACTTTTGCAGCTATTCGTGTGAGTGGTGCCATGGTTGCAGTGACAGGATTTCTAGCATTTATCTACAACATAAAAACGTTCCATTAATGTTTCTAAACCTGGATATTAGCGATGACATCAATAGTTACTTTTAGTTTTAATTTAAATTTGTTATTTCACGTATATTGTATTGGTAACTGATGACGAGATGAAAGATATCATTTTCTGAATACAAATTACCAAACTTAATTATAAGACATTTCATACTTATGACTTTTATGACTGTGTGTAGGTAAATAATGACGAAAGAAGATGCCTAAATGGCTAACTTTCCGATTACCAGAGTAACATGTTTGTTAGAAAATAAAAACAAAATTAATAAAATTGTACTGTTGATAGTTTTCCTTGCTATATATCCCTCACAAAACAACGGTCTTAAATTTAAAGGAAAACGTATATGACAAATGAGGAAACACACGCATTCACTATAATTACATATTTAAAAAAATAATTCTGGTTTGTCACACGCATTTGTTATATATTTAAGAAATTGCAATAAGCATAATCTTACAGATACGAATATTCCAAATACAAATTTTCTCCTTAAAAGTACTGTTTGCCTTTCAAAAGAAAGATGCTTCAGGAAGAGAAAACAGTGTTACTTTCGGTGATAGACGAGGTAGACAGAAGAGTCCACAAGTATTGATTATTTACAATAACGTAATTAATTAGAGTTGCAGATAAAATAGCCGAGATCTATACCTGGACTTTGATCAAATGAAATAGTAAACTAATTATCTTAACTTATTGTTAACCTTTGTCAGTATACATATATATCAAGTGAACGTTGTTGGCAACTAAGGTAAAAAGTAAAAACAGCACTGTTGATCAGACATAAAAGAGTTACGGCCTATGATTTCTTAAATATATTGATGTAAAATTCAATGTTATTTTAATTTTTAAAAGTAGTCCTTGAGGGACCTGAATGCAGCTCATAATATTTCTGCAAAATTTGATGACCTTAAACGAGGCACTTGCTACTGACTTTGAATAACAATGAGATTTTAAAGCCTGTTTCCTCACAGTTAACAGCATTCTGTGATACTACGTCATCGCGCACCTGCAAGATGTTTCCAATCATACTGTTTTTTTTGTCGACTCGAAATATATATAACTTCGGACTGTTTCTTTTTGTCGACTCGAAGATAAAATACATGATTTCATTCTAAGAAAGTTTTTAGACTTAAACCAGACAGTAAAACTTAAAACGTTTTATTTACAATTATATCAAGTACTATTTAAGTCATTCTTTGGTGTGAAACATTATTTATTGATACTTTAACGATTTCTTACATTTCTTATTTTATCGAGTAGACTGAATAACATTCTGATTGGTAGCATTTTGCAGGTGCGCGATGACGTAGTATCCTACTATTGTATATGATTCTTGTCAATGTTGAGAAATGATTACTATCTAATTTGGCGTAAGGGGGAGTAGCAAACTTAATTACAAAATTTTCAACTATTAACTATTTATTTTTTCCTAAAGCAGCATGCCTTCAGATTCATGCCAATTTTCATGAACATTTTGAAAATGTATTTTAAAAATATGCCTCAGAAAATCCATATTTTTTTATTTTTTAGAAATGAAGGTATGTGTTTAATTATGTTTTTATAATGGTTTAAGTGCATGTTACATGCACAACAAGTGGAGAGATAGCACTGAACATGCAGTTATATGTTATAAAGGCAGCAATATGTCAGCATGGTAGTATTTTAACTTCCATACAAAATACTAATTGACTTTAATTATACCAATTGCCAACTTAACAAAATCAGCAAAATATATTTCATGTATATGGCAAATGAGATTTTTTTTGAAACTGTAACAAGATAACTAAAATAAAAAAGTTTTGGCGAAATAAAACTGATAATATTTCTGAAGCATAATGGAACTTTAAAGTAAATATTGTGAAATAAATAAAGGAAGTTGTTTACGTATTGCAAACGGAACTTACAATCCACGTAAATTACCGAAACGAGGTCGAAAAATGCAAAAATAGCCCTTACTGCGTTAGTTATGCAGTAGAAATATGATGATAAAAATCGCAAATTCACTCATCAATCGCACATTACATGTAGATTATTTCTTAAATATTGAATCTTTATACATTCTTTAAATTCTAAGAACATTTTCCAAGTTTGATTTTTGTAGAAATATTTTGGCTCATCTGGACGCATGTAACTTTAATTACTTTCGGGAGTTTTTTTTCCTTCAAGCTTGTTTTCAGCGAAATCCGAGCAATATTTGGTTAAAATACCAACGTTTTATCGTGCTCAGTAAAATTTAAAATAATTAAACAATGTATAGATAACTGCAAAAATATTTAAATACTGAATATCTTATTAAGAATTTCAAACATACAAACGAATAATGAATCTCCTTGATCTCTCAGACAGTATTAATTTTTATTATAACACAATTGGTATGCATATTTGTTATTATTGTTAATGCGAATATTCGAATCAACGAAAACAACACTAGTATATGAAAATTGCAGATTCCGTTGTACTAAGTCTGTTCATGGGAGATAATATAAAAATGCAACATCTCCAATGCCTCCTCGTAGCGGTATTAAATGGTCAACACTAACGTGCTTGTATCAATGATCCTGCACGACCTAAAAATATAACACTGACAGTTTTAATATTAAGTAAACTTAATTTCATCATTGACTACTTTAGAAATTCTCAAAGATAATTCAATCAAAAAAGCTAAAGCATAAGCGCAGGCAAAATATAAGTAAACTGCTCGCTTACAATTTTCTCTTTTTGTAGTCAAAAGCACAAATCATTTGCACTTATATTAATTGCAATCTTGAACGTCTTATTTATAGTTCAATCAAAATAATACCAATAAGTGTCACCTTCTTCGGATGTTATCATTCCAATACCACGATAATTGAATTTATTTGCCAGGAACAACCCGGTGAATTAGACCAGCTTTTATCTTGGAAGACAATAAGCGGATATTTGGAGAAGGAATACACGAAAAGAATATACATAAACAAACCGCTTTGTACAGATTGATAGATAAATAGTATTGAAAGAAAATAAATCGATATGATTGTTATAATAGTAGTATTCAATAAAATTTGGATGTGATAACTTGTATTGTTTTAGTTTAGCGCCTTGTAGCATTGAGTTTTTGATCTATGATGCAGCAATTTCATGTCGTACAATGCTTCGAAAAAAAAAGTATAAAAAGCATAAGTTCAATGTTGGCATGTGGTATATATAGCATACTTCATGCAACTTTTAATATAAATATATATTTAAAAAAAATCTTATTGTACTTTATAAAGAAAAAGCTTATATATCATGTAATCTTTCCTGATGTATGACTTATTAGATCTACTGGTCGGTTTCAAAGATATCTTTAATGTATTTTATATTTATCGTAAAAACACATATTAAAGAATTTCTGCCATATTAAATTGACGCCATATAAGGAAATCAATGTTATCTCTGAATGATGAAAGAAAGTATTTATGAAGGTACATCTTGTTAAAACTTACATTTCTATGACAACTAATGAAAAAAAGATGATCTATAATTCAGCAGACATGTTATAATTTTCATATTTTTATACTTCTATATGGTGCTAGTATACATTTTATGCAATGTCATGCTTGATTCGTGTCCAGACAGCATCCGTTGAAAGCTAAATGAATAAAAAAATCACAAAAAAAAATCAAAACAAACACATGCAGTTATTCTATTAGTATATCTTAAAAAGTCACTAACGCAATCAAGTACTAAATCAAACATCCGTAAATATAGACCAATAAAACATTGTCATTTAACAGCCTTAAGAATAATAGCGAAGAATCAATAAAATATATGATAACTCATCTCTCTCAAACTCCCATTCTCCCCTGCGCTTCGGTCAAGTTTCAATCGTTCGTTTTTTTAACATAATGGCATTCATTTTAGCTGCTAAGGGAGCAAATCCCCCTCCTTCGCTACCCAACAGATACGCAGTTACATAAAAAGATTTTAACGCCCGTGACAAAGCAACCTACGTGAGGTTGGCATCAAAACAAGTGTCCAGCCGACATACTTGAACATGGGCACAGTTGAGAATCCGCTCTTGACTTATCTCCGAACCATAATGAAATCATCCGATATCCGGTTCATATTGAACAATATATTTCAATTTATTTTTAATTCTAACATATTGATTTTAAATTCTGATAAATAAGTCTTATGTTTTGCAATGTAATGTAAAATATTTGTTACATTTACATTGATCTGCAATTCTTTACTAAAAGAGATATTGTTTTGAAAGCAACGCATTTCAATTTGCATTTTATTATACAATTATTGTTAAAAAAATTTTTATTGGTCTATCTAGTATTTCGAATTTTTAAATTCTCCCAAGTGAACAATTTGAAACAATTTTATTCACTTTTTGGCTCTACTGTCTCGGAAACTTAAACAAATATGAATTTCGTACGTTAATTTGAATTCACACCTTATTCATCCTAATAAAATGAAAAGGTTCCACGTTGTCTATACAGTCCCATATATGTTCAAGAAACATGCAATGTATATATATATTCAATCTCAGTAATATATTTTTTGTCTTAAAATGTCGGTAAAGTTTTCTCACCATCCTACAGTTTTACTTTACTCTTTAATGTATAAATTAAAATACTTGTTACCAATAATCACTTCAAGAATACATATCTCTGTCAAGCCTCTGTCAAGTCTTTTGGACTTAAAATACGCCACAGATTGTTTCTGCTCTACTTCACTTTAAAGCGGCTTCAGCTTTTATTTCCTGTTGGAAAAAAAATATGTGTAGTTTCAAACTAAATATTTAAGTAATTATATTTTGGAAACGTGCATCATGTCACTGTAAAGTCTTCTTCAAAGTCGCGTCTCGAGAGCTATTTATAACATGTCAATGACGTTCGTTTCGGGGAATCGTCCGCTTTACTAATCTAAATAAAGAGAGAGGACGGGTAGATAAGAGGTATCGAGATGTTTCCTTTTTCTTTTTGTATTTTATCTTTGGCCAAATTCATTTTCAAACAAGAGCCGGTTGAACCGGGTGATGCTCCCCGACTAGGTTTTGGACACAGACAATTATATCTTTTTTTAGTTTGTGCCAGACAAAGTTAAATGTGTGATAATTCCAAACTTAGGCAAGGCAGAGTTACTGTTACTGTTCTTTGCACTGAACTTCTACTCAATGAGATCTATCTACCGACTTGCACGCGTCACGTCGTCTCAATATGGTGATCATTCTGTGAAATAGTTGTAAAATCCAACTTAAAATAACGAAGTTATGGGCCGGACACGATTTTGCTGCAAGGTCATGCTGTG